CAGCAGGACTGTCTCACGCTGCCAGTTCCGCTTTTGTTTAGGTCCTGTGTCAGCCAGTGCTTATTCCTAAGCTCTGCGTACGAGAAAACGTGGGTGTCGGCAAGCAATATCTGCCTCTTCCTGAAAGCAATTCCCTACTAACCTTAATCTGTCTGAGGGATGATGCTCTGCAGCGTTTTTACAGGAATAAGTCTGAATGAGCTGTCATTTAAACAGTCGAATGTGTGTTTTGCTTTAGCACCATTGCGATCTGCGCCCAGCCAGCCCAGCGGCCAGCTTTCCGTCTCAGCAGCTGCTGTCTCCTCAAGGCGACAGAGAGAGAAGAGAATCACCAGAGCTGGCTCGGAGACGAATCAGGCATCAAGGTGTGGGCAAAACACAGACTTACGCACACCCTTTTCCTTTCCGTTTGCAGGAACGCTGTGCATGTTCTAAGCTGAATAGACGTGTTACCCTCTTCTGTCTCCAAAATTTAAAAAGCCTTTGATCCCCTGCGATTGGTCTAGTTTTACTTAAGAAAGATTAAATCGCTGAAACTCGGTATCCTCAAAGATGGTGGTTATGAAGCCCTATGCTGCTGGAATGGAAATTAGGTCTAGTTTTGGTTCTGAATAGTCTCTAATGTCTCATGCTGCATTTGCTGTTCCTATTAAGCGCTGTCTTCTTGTCCCCTCAGGAGACGTTTCTCCTTGGTGCACAGAAGGCTTGGGGCAGCAGAGGCTCAGCTATCCTGCGCGAGGGACCAAGTCACTGAAGGAGACGGCCAACGCCGGGAAGGCACCATTGCCCTCTGTGGCGAGAGCTGGCGGTGCTCCCGACGCGAGAGGGAAGCCCGGGAAGGTGGCTGGCAGCGAGGGAAGACCGAAGAACAGAGGTGCAAGTGAATCTGCAGGTGGGACGACGCCACGGGCGAGACCTATTCAGAACTTTCATTCCGAAGCCGTCACACCCAGCTTCTCGAGAACTTCTCCAACCCAGCCAAGGTAACGCCTTTCTCCTCCCTTACGTCCTGAAGCGTAAGGGATCAGTGGCGCCGTATGAGCAAGTTTTGCCCTGCTGAAAGCGGGGGCGCAGCCTTAGGCCTGGCGCATTCTGATCTTCGGGTGGCAGCAAGCCCGCAGCAGCAGCAGTGACAAGTCTGTTCCAGTCCTCTGCCTCATTTCCTTACGGTGCAAATCTGGATGCCCTCGTGTTTGGTTTCACTCAGCTTAATTTGGCTGGCGCTTACCTGAGTTTCAAACAGCAAACTTTGGCTTTTACATCTAAATAGAACGGACAAAATGGGCACTGGGAGACAGGGTAGGATAACGCCGCGTTCTCTCTCCATCGTAGCGCTCGCAGCTTCTCTCTTTGCTCCTTCAAAACTCAAAAGGCGCAGAAAGCTAAAATGGAATCCGAACATTTTAGCGCGATGCCTTTATGCCTCATCACCTACTTCCTTTGCTGCCTAACTCGGCCTGCCGCACCCCTCGCCTCGGTCACCGGTCGGGTTTTTATTTCCCTCCCTGCCGCGCAGTGAGGGCTGCTGGCTGGGATGTGGTTCTGCTACAAAAATAACTGGGTCGGGGTTCAGGAGAAGCATGAAGGCTTCGTCCTTCACCTTCCAGAGTCTCCCTGGTGTGAAGGCGCTGTGTTTATGCAGCAGTAAGAGCACGGAAGGCGGTAGGCTTGCTTCCTCTGACCCTGTCCCTGTTCTTCTGCAGCCGCACCAGCAATGGGGGAGGAAGGCGCCTCGGGATGTCGGATGGCCCCGTCGGCTTCAGGCGCAGGAACGCAAAGGTAACCATCTTTTTGTGATGGCTTTGCCAGGACGACGAGCTTATTTTATGCTCCTTCCTGCTTCAGGGAGGTTTCTAGCGCTCGCTCGTTAGCCAGTACTCTGAAAACAGCATCTTTGCTTTTTCCTCCCCCTTCCCTTTAGGCAAAAGCCCAGAGCCCAGCATCTGCTCAGCCAGAGAAGTGATCCACCGCTTACGGAAGACACGCGTAGCGCTCTGCCCGCTGTCACTCTGCACTCCGGTGCTTATTTGTCTGAGCGCAGGTAAAGCCCTGTATCGCCATGGCATTGCAGACTTTCTATGAATTTAAATTTTTATAGGCCGTGATCATTATATATATATATATATATATAAAAAAAAGTATTTTTAATTTGCGAGAGTATACTACAGGTTTTTACTTCTGTGATCTATGCTAGCAACGTCCCAGGATGGCAAATTCGCTTCTGCCTTGGGAACCACCCGGGCTATGCCGCGAGGGCTGCGCGTCCTCGGCTGGTACACGGAGAGGGGGATTACGCTTCTCAGCGGAGAAGCTCTGAGCCCGGGGCTGTGTTGTAAGACGCTTTTTAATGCTGTATTAGTCCCTGCTTTTTAAATTCCTTGTAATAAAATTTATCTAACCATGTCCCAAACCGTTGTGCAGTAAAAAAATCTGTTACGCGAGGTGAGGCGGGATCACGAACGCTCTTTGGGGTAAGTTTATCACCGAGTCGGAACCTTTTGCTAACTGCTGTTTGCTGTTACTACCTGCATGAGGTCTTGGGTAATTTGCTCCGTTAACAAAGCTGTTTCACCCCTCGCGCTTTGGCCCAGTGTTAGGGCATTGGGAATGCAGAAGCTGGAGCAGGCAGGGCTTGGCTAATGACCACAGGCATCTGGCTAATTAACGGGGTACAGCAGATGGCGTGAGCAGGGCTAATTAGCCGCTCACCCCGCTGGGGCAAGGCTGCTGCCAGAGGCCTCGTCTCTGCTGCCAGCACCAGGCTCGGCTTCAGGGAGGCTGAAGGGGTCTTGGTTTTAAAATAAAGACATTTTACGGACGCTTCCACCAAATGTAAGCGTTTATTTATACAAGAAAAGCAGAATAAAGGTATTTAAAAACAGGTGGCAACCAACCTTGCGATGGCATTTTGGGGAGAACTGCTAGGGCAAGAACAGGGAATCTAAGCCGGCTCTTCTGGCTTGTGAGGGTTCACGGGACGCCTCGTTCGGAAACTGGGAGTGTGAAAAATCACCAACTACCGAGCTGAGGGTGGGGCGCGGCTGCGTTGTTCCTCAGGCGTGAGAAAAACTGCACTTGCTCCATTCAGAGAAATATTAGCAATCATTGTGCTTGCTCTCCCTTTTGTACAAAATATTTACATTTCTGTTCCAAGTAAATACAAATTTTTACCCCGTAAAAGTGGGATTTGAAAGCAGGTAACCTGCCACTTCATTTCTAGCGGCTCTCATCCTCTGCCTCAGGGCAGCTTCAGCAGCGGAGGATTCCTTTCGTTATTTCCAGCCCCAAAGAAGGACACGAAACACCTAAAGGGATGTTAAGAATCTCCTTTATGCGGGTGTACACTGGATGGCCAAGAGCACTTAACAGGTTAATGCTGTGTACGGTACCAAGATGGACACACACCAAGCTAGAACTAATACCCAGCTCCAGAGTTTTTCCATTGTTTAGCATAATTTTACATTCTGAATGAATATATATTAAAAAAAAAAAAAAATCATCACAAACCAACCTCCGCTGTGACAAACAAGCCTATTACAGACAATGTCAAGTTCATTTAAAGCACAAGGAAGTAATGATGATTAGAAAAGCTTTAATTAAAGGCCAGGTGAGCTACAGGCGAACCACTGCAGCACGCACTTCCCAGGAACGGAACGGAACAAAACAAAGCCCAAGCGCCCCCCGCAACTCCGTCTCTTGCAGGGCTCAGGCCATTCTTCAGAGAAAAAAAAAAAAAAAACCCAAGGTCAATGAAGGTTATTTATTGGTGTGACACTTTTCCTGTATAAGAAGCTTCATTTACACAGCAAGGTGTAAACAGCATTGACTAAAAGTTTGTTATTTGTAATCATAAATAATTAATTGTAATAAATATGTATCAAGTAACTTTACAGCACGCTTTGCAGGGCCAAGACGCGGATATGTTCCACTCAAATGTGCTCTCTGGAAGGAGAAGACAGACGTTAGCAGCAGTTTCTTACTCACAGCTGTAACCACAGCCTTGGAAAACGCTGGCGCACCGAGCTCCCGAGCCCCGGCGAGCGAGGCGCCTGCGCTGCAAGTCCACCCAAAGCGTTACGGGCTTGAAACGGGCGATTTAAAGCCGGTACGAAGCCAGAATCCGCCGGCCAGAAAGAAACCCCACAGGTGTCCTCGTCAGCAGCGGTTCTGCCGTGACACTCAGCCGCCGTCCTTCACGGTTCCTCGCGGCACCCGTTTGGGAGCAGGCGGCCCGGGTGGGAATAAACCGGCTCCGAGCCGCTCCTTCTGCTTAGTTTTCCCCTCGGTTTTTGTAAACTCCACGTGTGTTTGCGCTTACTCTGAATGATTTCTCAGCTACATATATGCTTCTACCAGGAAATGGACAAGATTCAAGAGTAAATATTCTTCCTACATGGATCTGTTCCTTGGAAAGGGCAATATGCAAGAGGAGGGTAACAGCTTCCTAACCACAGGATCTGCAGACTCTGTATGCCGACAACTACCTCTACAACTGGTGCACGCACGTTTTTCCATTCGCTCACAGAAGAACAAGAATATACACGCTTTTTGAGGCTCTTCTCCCTTACTCACGGCTTCCAAGCACCACACGCTCACCATTCCCAATATTCACAATAATATACAATAAATACAGCTTTTTCAATTCCCATGACCACCGACAAGCCAAATTAGCGTATGCTGTCTTCTAAAGAGACGTAGAACACCACCTTAAGTACAGTTACACACGCACCATCGTAGACCTTTTGTCTGGTCGATGTGCGCCAAGCACATCGGAAGGAAAAGGAGGAAGGCGTAGCTCAGTACTGGCACTTAACGTAGGTATAGTACCGAGCCGAGCAGCACAGCGGTGATCTCAGTATGTCCTCTTCGGGTCTTCGGCACGCAGGCGATTCTCGCTCGTGCCGGGCTCCGAGCGATCAACAAAGCAACGCCGTACTCGGAAACGCACCCGGTGCAGGGCAACCGCTCTGACGCGAGCGAAGGAAGACAGGCGTGTCGATGCGTCGGTTGGAAACCGCCCCAGAACGTATTTCACGAGATACAAAAGTTCAACTTGGCGAGCTGTTCTCTCGCCATAGTCCGCTATTGTCCTTTCCGCAGAAAATAGAAGCTTTCTCTTCCAACGCCCAGCTCTGTGCCTTCCCCCCGCCTCATCCTCCGTCCGGGTGTCACACCGCTAGGGCAATTGGCTCTTAGATCAGAGATCATTTTTGAGTACAAAAATGAGTTCCAGGTGTTTAACCACAGGCTGCGCGTTCTGAAAGCTTGTTCGGAAACAGGAGAAAGTCACAGATCGTAAGCTTGAACGGTGGTATTTTACACCATACAGAGAGAAGTCGTTTTGTTTCTGCTAATATTTTAATTACAATAAATTATTTTGTTACTGAGCAAAGCAGACATTCAAGAACATCTAGGGCAAGAACCCAACTGAATTGCGGCCCTTTCACTGTTCTTTCAATTGGAAGTCTTCCTAATCAAAAGTGCCTAGCTGAAACCCCAAATTAACTGCGGCAGCTACCCGTGTGCTTGCTTCTAGTTTAAAAAGTTACAAGAAAATGGTGGAAACGTAAACATGCAGTTTGGCAGCAGAGTTTCTGCTCTAAAACTCAAGCAAGTGCTAGAAATTCTGCATGACCCCTGCCTGCGACAGAAGAGGTACCGTGCTCTGTGCCTGCAGGTGCCCGGCAGCGATTCCCTCCCCGCACCCGATTCTTTCCATTTTTGTATTCCCAAATGTTTCAGGGGAGAGCGATCTACGAGCCTACGAGTGCTCCTGAACTCGGAACGCCCTCGCTTTTGTTGTGTTTGCATGGGTAATATCGTTCTAAATTACAAAATTAGAAATGTACATGTTTAAAGGTTTGTCGAAATTAAATTATACACAAACTGGTCTTTACTAAACTATCCTACAAATATTCCACAAACAAGGCAGCAAAATAACCAGTCCACCACGAAGTCTACAAATACAAAATGTAAGTCTTCCAGTAATTATTGTAACGGGAACAAAAGTTCAGAAAAGAAACTCCACCTCCCGCTCGTCACACAGTGTTACAGGAGGTATTTTTACGTGAATTAAAGGGTTTCCAACGTTAGCAGAGCCATGAAACACTCCAGCCCGTCACCTCCAGGCATCCCCTGCTCCCGCTCAGCCGCTGAGCGGATCCTCCCGGTAGTGGATGGCGTAGCGGAGCTTCTCCAGCATTATGTCCAGCGAGGAGTACTGAGGAAGTTTGATCATGAACATGCATGTTTCCACACGGATGTACCGAGAGTCTGGAGAACCTGCGGGGGCAGAAGCGCCAGAAGGGGTTTGAACGCGCCCTCCGCTTTCCACCTCATTCCCCAAACGCGTCCTTCCCCCACGCCCCTTACTACGAAGCACCAAAATAACAAGAGTCCTGCCTGTAACGCGTCTCTTGAACCTTAAACGCCACTGTGCTTCTCAGTCAGTCCTCAGGCCGACATTTTTCCGACAGTCCAATCACTTTAGAAGCATACGAGACAAACACCATACAAAATCTCTTATTGTTTCTAGCGGGCAATGTTTTAAGTACTTAAAGTTTATTTTAAATTTTATTTTTACACCGTTTAAAAACAAGTTCGCTCTCTTCTTATTTACAGCCATAACTACCTGCCTCTCTCTCGTCATTCTCTCCATTAAATACACTTCTAAATTAAAAAGAAAGGGGAACTGAAAGCTAGAACCACGCCGCGAGCAGAACGGATTTTCTTTGCCTTAGGAGACAGAGGGCAAACGCACCTGCGGCTCCGTCGGGGGGGGCTATTTTCATGGGGTACGGCGGGACGTGGGCAGTGTCGGGGCCTCCGTCTTTGCACGGACAGGTGAAGGGGATTCGTTCCTGGTTACAGGCGAACTTTATGAACTTGCAGAGCTCCTCCTGCGTGAACATCTCCAACGCGCTCCAGAAAAACTCGATGTGCTGATCAGTTTCCATCAAGCCCACCTGGTACATGGTGTGCGCCTAAGAGAAAAGAACGCAAGATGCCCGCTGCTGCTTTCTGCTCCCTTCGCAAACCTTCCCCACCGACGCTTTGAGAGGACAGAAGGGGACGGTAACGCCACCTCTCTCCCCAGGTTCTCCTGCCTTTTCAAAACCGTTCAGGAATCCTGCCATGGCAGAGCCCGCCAGCTTCTGTAGCGGGCTCCTCTTAGCGCGTCGCCCCTGGAGGGCAGGTAGAGGACAGTACTTTTCTGTTTAATGTGCAGGACCACGGCAGTTCAGCATTGCTGCTGTTTAAGGAAAAGACGAACCAACGCTAACACCCGTGGCTGAGAATATTCTACAACTTCTGACACGAGAGAACAGTTCTTTTTATGGCATAATTCTTATGGTAATGAAATGAAAGTATTTAGGACCAGAAGTTGTCTGTTACAGGTTAATTTTAGATTTTCAGAAGTTATTTGCAATTCAAAACGGTCCTCTCCTCTACGTGTCAGACAGGAAAGTTTTGCCAAAGAAGCTGCAGTTCTTCCCACCTTGAGAAACTCCAGGTTAATGTACGGAAGCCCACACGTCCTCAGCTCCATCTCTAGAGGGGTCAGCGTAGTCAGAAGCTGCAGGGGAATGATAGACCCCAGCCCAGCACGCACTGCGGTCATGCACTCCGGAGTCTGCAGCTCACGCATCCTCAAGCTCCGGATCGCTGCTGCGTACACATCCTTGTTCTCCCACCTGCAAGGATTCAGGACAAAACAGGGGAGCGTTGAAGAGCCCTCTTGCCCTACCCCAGACCGTTACATACAGAAGGGTTTTTACGGGGAGATTCTGCTTTGGAATAATTGAGAGTGAGCATTAAGCTATTTGCATTCTGATGCTTCCCAATTTAATTCCGCTTTCCTCAGCTTCCTCCTCATCTCTCACGCTTGCCCATTTCTCACGAGCCTCTAACTGCGGGTGTTCCCTGAAGCCAGCAAACGGCCGATAAGCGCTGCTCCTCAGCTGGCTATTGCTTACAGAACAAAAGGCAGTAAATAGCACCAGTGATTCCAAGCTCCTGCCAAGAGATGTAAAGCTTTCCCAGATCATTCCAGCCTTCAGCTTGTTACAAAAGCATCTCCGGAGAGCCTGGTGCTTGGAAAATTATCCCAGCGATGCTTTTTTCCCACGTAACCCAGGGCAACGTCCTGCCAAGGCGGCTGTTACTCACCCCACTGGAATGTGCCTGCCTCTGGGACAAAGCTCCACCTCTTCCCCTGCAATGGTCAGGTAGGTGAATTTGCAGCAGGGCTTGTTCGGACAGTCAGGGCTCTCTGTTGCCAGATGCTGAGAAGCAATTTCTGCACACAGAGCTTCCAGTTCTGTCTCATCGTTTATCTGTCAGGAAACACAAGCATAGTGTCCGATGACCGGCATGTCGTACTGCGGTATTCTTGTGACTCGCTCAAGGTATCGCCACGATGTACAAACTGCACTCATTCTATCGTCTGGAGACATCACCGACAGCAAAAGCCAACAATTGCTTTGGTGGGTTATTTTCTGGTTCAGCGCTGCCAAGTTCCAGTAGACATTTCAGAAGCCTTAATTCCACCGTGCCTGGCAGCAGAGGAGACTGAGCAGCTTTTCCAAACCATCAGGATGTAAAATCCTGCACCCTGCTCACATGAAAAACATCATCTGCCAGACAGCGAAGCCGACCGTTGCCTTCTAGGGCAGGCAGTAAAGTTAGCTGCTTATGGGGGAAACCCTGAGAAAAAAAGGAGGGAAGAGGGAAAACAAAAAATAACAACTTTACTTACATTTTCAAATTTTTTGACATAGTTGTAGGTGAGGATGTCAGCTTCCTGGAGATCAACGTCAGGATCCAGTGGCTCTCCCACCAGCGTCTTCCAGAAGGAGGGCAGGAGGTCAAGTGGCAGAGGAACATCTGCTCGAATTGCAATACCCAAGAGCTGCCCGAAGAAATGGAATAACTGCTCCTCCGCGTAGGTTAAAGGGCTAGGCGTCAAAATGTACTTCCCCTTTAGGAAAAAAAAAACAGAACAGAATAGAGCACACAAACCAGTATTTAACAACTGGTGCATACCCTGCAGGTCCACGAGTTAACAGGCTTCTGAAAATACTGCTTTGAACACAATGAATACTGTTTAGTTGGCCACAAAAGCATTTGCTCAAGCGTGGCATGGAGTCCGTATATATTATACAGTGATCACATTACTTTATAATTTAATGATCAAGCCCCACTTTCACAAGCTCTGTTAATCAGCATTCACAAGACCTTTCTGTATTTATGTTACCAGTTCGATATCTAAGCCTTTCAGCTGGGGGATGTTTCTGAAATTCAGCCTGGATACGCAAAGCCAGCTTTGCTACGTAGCTGGCCTTGTGGGCAGTGGGCTGTTTTCCTACCTTGTGAATATTCCTAGGAAGGAACTATGCCTCAACTACCGTACGTTCTTTGGGCCATAAGCTTTATCTTGTTTCTATAATACATCGACTACACAAAACAGGAGGACACTAAATATGCATTAAATAGCACGGATGGAGCCTCTGACTCTACTCGCAACGCGACTGACTTTCCTGGTGACGTTCCTGGAGCAATACCAGCAGAATACAACTTCACCAGTTTGGGACGGACAATCTCTAAATCGGACAACTGAACCACATTCACTCTAAGTGAACTTTGACCAGGAGTCTTAATTCTGCTACATTTTGCAGTTTTGCTACTTGGCTGCTCCTTCAGGTACCTGCAATACCCTCTGGAGTGCAACAGGGGATTCATCAACAGTCATCTTCGGTTTCATTAGGCACGCGAGACCTCTCTGGGCTAACGGGGGCTGTTGATCGGAAGCTTCTCTCTGTGTTGCTAACCGAATGTGTTCTACTCCTGTTCAAACACACGCATTCAAAAAGAGAAAAGCAACTTCATTTCTTGCATTGAGGTATCACACCTTGTTCTTATTGACTGCAGAGCTTGGGCACAACAGGAGAAGGGAGAGCGAGGAGCTCTGTAACTCTTTACAGACTTGCCAGAGGAAGTGACGGAAAGATCCACCTGAAAGAGAGAGGGGCAAAATAATGAAATGCCCTCCGGGGATTGTCACCACCACATTTTAATCCAGAATTTGCCGTTCTTCTTGAAATCGCGTTTCACGCCTTAGATCACACGCTTAACCTCTCCGACTGCGCCGACGCGTGGCTTAAAGAAGGGTGGGGTAGATGCCGGCTATGCCAGCCTACTATTCACGTGCAAGTCCACATTTAAATAGTTTAGTTACATGCAAAAAGTATTCATTGAAGCTTCCTGCTCCTGCTGAATTCCCAAGTGCTGCTTTGGCCTCCAGCACTCTATGCCTAAGACCAGCACAAGCATTTGTTATACCAGTTGGCCTGCAAATGGAATTCATTACTTGATTAGAAGATGAATGGTGCTGTCTTCAGAGCAGCCGAGCATTTCCACTGCTAAAAGCAGCGAGGCAACGCATCAGAAATCATTACAGATGCTGAGCTGTGGACATAACGTTTATCTCTTTATAGATACTGTCAGTAACCACCACAGACCTTAAAAAGAAAAGAATTCCCCTTGAGAGAAGGCATCAAGGAGCCCTCTGTTCAGCTAATAGGTGCACCCGGACAAGAATCTTCCTTTACACAATGTGACAGATGACACCAGTTGCTAATACGAGAAGTGCATTTGGGGCTTTTCTTCCCTAACTCCATATACCCCCATGAGTCCCCAAAAAGGGCCTCTTACAATCAGCATGCAGAGACCGCATTAATTTAGATAGCGGCGATCAATTTTCTGCTTTGAGACGCAGCTGATATTTGCCTTGATACCCTATCAATTATTCAACAGATCTGCAAAGCAAGATTTTCTTGGCTCGTGTTTAAACCAAGTCTCTTCCCGGAGTACGCACAACCCGCGTAGCATCCAAGGGAGCCAGCGCCCCCAAAGAAAGTCAATACCCAAATGAGGCCGGACAGCATCCACATAAAGCTCGCAAATTAAAATACAGTGTCAAGAGAAGAAAAGGCATCATAATCTTGTTTAATAAAGTAAGATTATTGCTTAACACTTTCTGTTGAAGAGCAGTAGTGCTATGTCTGAGGAGCCTGTCTCTGTAGCGGTTAACTGCCCTGACTTCACTTAAATGTCTGTTCCTTTCTGAGGTTCATTCTTGTAACCAGTCACATGAAAATTATTAAAATGATTACAAGAAATATTGCACGTCTCTTCACAAAAATGACCAAGATGCAATTTTAATACTATTTGCGGCAAAAATTAAGGACAGTTTTTAAAGCAACAAAACCCTTACCGTACTCGCCATCTCTTCAGCTTGGCTGGGACAAGCTGAAGTTCATACTTCTGATGTCAAGTTGGAAACAATTCTCAAAACCACCTTGCCTGGGCATGACCATTTTTAATGGTTAACGCTTGCATATTCCTTGACAGCTATGTTTGATCACGTATCCTACACTAGTATTTAACCGTATCTTAACCTATTGGCCATACAATCTCACATCACTTTAACAATAAAAACCACAGTAGCGTTACCCAGCTCATTACTGGCAAGAAAGTACTTAAAAAAAATAAAAATCTTTACGAGCACAGTCTGGGTTTACCGTGGCTGTTACCGTCAAAACAACCTGAAGAGACATCGTACTAAATGCTCTCCCCATGCTTCAAACAACTTACTCTTACTTTATTTACTTGCTCTCGTTAGCCAAGTCGCAGCCCAGGCACTCATACTTCTGCTGTATTAGCTAAAATATGAAAATTATCCATCTGGCTTGCTTAATTCTTGGAAGCTTCATTCTTTTTCATCTGCAGGACTACAAACACCAGAAAGGTGACACTGCTCTTTAAAGTTAACACCAGCCACATTCTGGCGAAAACTTGGATTCCACCTGGAACAAGTCCTCACGACTGTACCTGATGTCACCCACGCTGGTAGCTCCGTAATCCTGACTTACTTGTTCCATGAACCTCCTCCCCTGTGAACCGAATGTTGAACGCGTACGTGGGGTCTCCACCGCTGGCAAGTTTAACGCAGAGCTGGGAGGACGGCACACAGGCTAGCTGTCTCGCTGCCTGACAGAAATAGGAATTTTCTGAAGAACGGATCTCCCCTATTTAAAAACAAAAGAAAAAAATAAAGTCCCCACACTCAGCGTATTTTGCACTAATAAGCATCTGAGCTTGTTTCAAGCAGATCTGACTTGTTGCAATGGATTAAAAAGAATTTTGAAAAGGATAAGCGTTTCCCATACCTCCAACTATTTCCAAGGGATCCAGGGTGATTTCCGGAGCTGCATGATCAGCAGTTCTTTGGACAGTGGCATTCAGCACTCTGTTCATTACAGTTACCTTTGTGTCATAAAAGATTAAGCCTAAATAAAGAAACACATATTTCAGTCTAGTTAATCTGTCCTTTTACAATCTTATTTTCTGAAATTCTCTAATGGACAATGGTAGAGTCATAATTTCATCTTCCTTAGGTAGGTAAGATATGGCTAATCCACCTCTTCACTTTTTTTTTTTGTCTAATTATTTTTTACTAATGTTTACTGGAAGCAGCGCATTGGGTTAGAACACCGATGAACACAATTCTAATGTTATATAAACAGATCCTAGCAATGCCACCAGAGTATCTGCAAACCAGAAACACTTTGCCAAATAGCTTTCAGAAATCTGAGATGTTTTGACAGTAATGCTAGAGGCAAGAAAACATGATAAAAAATAGGGCTGTCACGTTGCACCATAAATACGGGCTCTATAAAGACAAATCTCTGAACATTCCTCACTTCTCCGTACTGGCTTTACAAGTGTTTTTCCTAGCTGGGCCAATATAAAAGCCTGCTTACACACATTGACACCTTTGGTGAATTCTGTATCATCATCTTCAGAAGAAAACAAGTTTGGAAAATGTAATGACCTAAATCTTGGTTTTGTTTGTTGTCCAATGAAGGCTTGTAAAAACTATTTTAAACGCTGATGCACGGTAAGCATTTTCTTGCCCTCTCTAATTCTACAGCTTTGATGACAATGAGGATGCCAACATGTCCTGGGACTTTCACCTGATCTGCTGCTTGTTGACTAACAAAAAATTTTAATTTATGGATACGCCCAAGAAGATAAAGGCACATTTGAAGGCCGTCCACAGAGAGAAAAGATGGGCCAACTCCCTCCATGGTCAAGAAAGGTGCACGGCGTCTACTTGCAAGAATAATCCCTCTCGCCTTTAAAAAAACAAACCAAGAAAAAGAACAAACACTCCCACACTGAGAAGTGCCCTTGGGTGAGTGCCGTTTGTTGGCTGTCACCTCAGACAGACCGTGTGCCAGCTTATTGGGCTGAGAACAAAGCCAGTAAGCCTTTGTCAGCACACTGAAACCACTCACTGTTTTTTTTCTTTCCCTCTCCCCTCCCTGTTCTCCTTTCTGTCACATGCATACAAGCATTAAAAGCTCCTGCAAAACATACTAAGAAATTCACTGTGGGGCTTAGTGCACCCTTTCAGGCAATAATCACGATCCCTCAGAAACCGACCTTTGGCCTCTTGCAGTAAGGCAGCAATACTGTTAGCGTACATCTCAGTCTGCCGAAGCTCCACCAACGGTAAGAAGAACGTCTCCAACGTTGTATTGAGAGACTGAAGCAGTGCAAACCGTAGGCGTAGACTTTCAACGGGAACATCTGAGGTGGGAAACATCCAGTCAGAGAGAGAAAGAGATTCCCTACCTACTGCAAAGTCTATCTTCCCAGCAGATTCAGTGCAGAAGCCAGACAAGCTTCCTTCTAAAGCAGCCCCTCCTGATCCCTGCACATCAACAAGAGGGCTGGAGATGCAAGAACAGCCGTGATCCGTGATGTTCCTTCCTGGACCTCAAGCCTCTGGGTGTCTGAGTCCAGTATCGCTGAATGTGCATTATCTGGAGACCCTTTTAAAGGAACTTGATGCTTGGAACAGGATTTAGGTGACTAAGGTCTGCCTAGGTCCAGAATCAAAATCCAGCCTTCCTTCCCCCGCAAGCTAAACTCACCAGCTATCTTCCTGCTCCAGCCTGATCTGGGAGGTACGCTTGGAGAGCGGAGAACAGTTGCAGTGCATTTCCAACAATGCTGCCAAAGGCACCGCGGTGCCCAAGCACACCCAAGGGGAGAGAAGACCTAGGCTCAGTGTCCCCCTCGGCCCACAGGGGCTCCAATCCACAACCTCCAAAGGAATGTCCCAACTACCTGGGCGACAGGCAGGTCATTCAGGAGCACTACCCAGCTCTTCCGTTGAAGAAAGCCTCTATGCAAACAATCTATACGTACTCAACAGACAGGAAATTCTGGGATCTGCTGCATCAGCTGGATCCAAATAAACTTCATGGGGATGGAGTCGTGCTGGTGTAATTGCAAGGTGACGACAAAGCCTGTTAATATACTGGACAAGGGCTACATCCATTTCCAGCGTCCATTTCCGGGACGCTTTTTGAGCGTGTCTTGCATCAATGCAGGCACACCTGAAACGTAAAAGGCATGAGACCTGTTGAAACGTAAGTGCAATACTGCTTACTAAGAGCATGTTGAGCACAACCCCAGGTAGCTCGTTCTGCTTCTCTCCCCTTTTCTTAAGCGGAGCTGTTTCATTACCAAAATTCCAGTTTGAGAATAAGAACTGATTTATCACCTACCTGGCCTCACTGTTATTAAATAATAATAAAAAAAGGAGCTGCCTATTAGTGCAGTAAGTAAGCTTATCTTCTTTACGCTCTGAAGCGGATATAGGGGAAGGAGATGTGGCAATTAGCTTGTGGCTTGACACAGGGAGATAAGGAGGATTCATTTAAGGGACTTTCTTCCTGTTCCCTCTTCTACATTACTCCTGACCCACTAACAACACTGCCAGTTTAAACAACTACCCAGTGCACAGAGCAGAAATCTGTTGTGGAAAGAAATCAGACAGCCGGATGGATCTATAATTCTCATCAGGCCAGTTTATTATACAGTTTGGAAGCAACAAAGGACAGTATGGCATACGATTTTGTTAGCTATGTTGTGTACAAGACAGTCAGGAACCTGCATTCTGACAGCATACTGACTCTTTTAAAGCATGTTTTAAGAAAATAACCAACAATTTTCTCTACAGGCCTTGCAGCCATGGTGACAAACAGAAGTTTGTGTGTTAGTAACACACTGGTTACAGCTACTTGGAGTAGGAACACTTGGGATCAAGTTTTTTTAAAAAGTGCGCACAATTAATCAGCATTGCCTTTACAAAAAGATTTGCAAAACTTACCTTTCAAAATGTAGATCATATCCACAGGACAGAATAGCTCTCCATACACTACGGATATCCTGTTTAGATCGGTCAACCACAAATCTGTGAAATCCATCCAGTGTCAAATACTTCTCCTCAGGAACTGACAGCAAAGATATGACCATCAAATAGTTAATGACTTACTATAAAGTCTACGCACCACACAGGAAAACAGTTGGTGTACGAGGTGGCTACCTGCCAGCTTTCTCCTGGTTCTACCCATCCCACCATGGCTCATTTCTCGAGTCGTTCTAAACATCATGCTATTCAGGTCCAATCTGGCCTTCAGGAAACGGCACTCGTTCTTTCTTCTCAAGGACGCAAATCCCCCAGCCGCCCTCTGGAATAGCTCCACCAATGTATCTGACCAGGTATCAAGGATCCATACTTGGCTGAATGCCGAAATTCCCCTCTTCTGAACTAACCTGGCACTTCCTACAGTGAAGAGCAGAGTCCAAGCTCGTGTCTATTCACTCCTCCACCTGACTAGAGAAAGAAATATCAAGCAAGACCCTGGAACTAACCCCTGTCATGGCATGGCTGTGCTGTCTCCTCCATGGATAGACTAGTTGTGAGGCATGTGAACCTTCTTTCATCCAAATTTCCTGTTGTAGCTTAATAATTTTCCTATATAAGTTGAGAAACACGATTTAAAAGCACTAGTTCCACCCCATGATATCCTGATCTGCCACTGTACAAAAAAGCCTTGAAATTATGCCTCTTAGGAAGTCAGTTCTCTACCCAGCGTATTCACACGGCCTACGCACACTGTTGCACGAACTGCATGAGTGTGGTTTGCTCTCACTTGCATTGATGAGTCCAGATTTACAGATTTACAAATAAAAGCAGCATTTTAAATCACTATTTAAAAAAAAAAATAGTTAGCCTCATTAAGAAGAAAGACAAACCAAATCTATCATGACATCATATAAGCATGCCAATACAAAAACCGTATTTCTTTTCTACGATGTAATGCTATAGAAAAATTCTATACAGCTACTACCTTCCTGTTTCTTTGTGGGAGACTTTTCAGGGTCCTTCTCTTCAGGTTTGCTCTTCTCAGGAGATTTTGGCTTTACGGTAGGTTTCTTCTCACTTAAGGCTGTTCGGCTAAGGGACAAAGGGAATGTTAGGATGAAAGTTTTCTTTTGTCTCTTCAAGAAACCGTAACATTCCTTGAAGGTCTTTTATAATCTCAAAGTCGCAGTTCCCTCTTCCAATCCGTACATACGGAGGGAGGGGGAATAAAAATCTGGATTCCTAAAGAGAAATCAAATGTTTCGTAACTGTCAAAAGGCTGAAGACACCAACCTGACACTATTGAGCACAGACTTTTCCTTTGTAGGTGGTTTAGTCACTGGGCGCTTGGTGCTCACAACTTTCACTGGATGCTGTTCTTTGCCTGTCTTGTTGTACTTGCTCTTGTCAAATTTCGGCTTGGGCACACCGTATTTCCTTAAAATCTTCCAACATAGAAAGTGAATAATTATACAACGTTCTCAAGTTACACAAAAAGATGCTGAAAATAGTTTTCAAAGCACTACCTGCGTAAGCTGGTCCTCTAGCACCTTCTTTGGAGGGCGGACATTTGTGAAGAACACATGAAGAAGGTTTCCAGGCGTCTGAGAATTTATCTGTTCTTTACTAAGATAGATATCAGCAACCTTAATGGGTTTCGCTGGAGTTAGGCTCAGCATTTGCTCAGAATGGATGCAGCTTTTAAATATTTCTGTGAGGACTTCTCGAGCACCTGGGACCAATTTCTCACCTAATTAAAAAAATGCAGTATGGTACAAAATACCATGACAACTGTTTAGAATTTGAAACGTGAAAAAACATTTTTGCATTCAGCTAAAATATTGCATCACATGCCCCTTGCTCCGAGAAAGAAAATCGCTTAGAAAAATTCTACTAGCAGACCTGACCTTTCTGCACTCCAATCCCCCCATTTATGACAGAGAATTGAATGCCTTCTCCTGTTTTGGCCACATACTGTAATTATTATTTGAGTGACTGTAGTGGTAATGAAAAAGTAGATTATTTATGAAGCCAGTATAAAAATTATTTGTGTAGGTACACGCTGATACCTATCAATTGAACTAGTAGTCAACTGAACTTCCTCCAAGTGTTATCCTCCCCTGTTCCTTGATTCAGGATTCTGGCCCATTCCAGGCATATTAGGGTCTGTATAGCTTTCATCCTGTTAGAGAATATGAATGACTAGCTGTTCTGCTTGAACAGTTTCTACTCTAAAACTATGCTGGGTCTAACAGTGGTAAATTATTACAGTGGCTATTTTATCAAAAAAGCTATAAACAACTCAGTAGTTTTGTGGGTTGGTGGGGAGCTTTTTGGGTTGGTTTTTTGTTTGTTTGTTTGTTGTTGGTTTTTTTTACTGTTTGTTCAGATTGCAAATAGCTGCTTGCCAACTGATGAGAGGGAGCAAACTTGCTTTGAAATTACTCCCTGGCTCCCCCTCATTGTCACCCATCAGTTAGTGAGTCACACTGAATTTACACCAGCGAGGAGAATCTGACCCCCCGATGTCCCCCCAAAACGCACAATACAAGTGAGCTATTGGCCAATATGAAAACCACATACCTTTTATTGACTTATCATTGAAATAATCTTCTAGCGCTGGGCTCCCTTGCGTGTCAAATAAACTCTGATTTACAGTAGAAACAGTTAAAATCTCTTCAGTTGACATTTCCATCAGTTCATCTTCACCATCCAGACTTGACAAACCAATGAGATCACTACTATTAAACAGACTGGCTCGGATTTTCTCTATTTTAGCTCTTGACCTTATCTGTACAAATAATGAAATTAGTTAACAGGACAAGACAAATTAACTTCCATTTACATGAATTTGGGTCTTAAGCTTTCTCCCCTCCCCATCTAGATAATCACTATCACATGTCTTCTAACATTCTTCTCCATCAACACCAGAATTCAGGTTCAGCCTAGAAAACATCCTTTCTAAGAACACCTGGCCACCGAAATCACTATGCTGCGAGTTAATCAGGCACAGCTTTGAAACAGCTATTCCATTTCTTAGTCTGGAGACAGCCCTTAGAAATATCAGATAAGAAGTTGAAAGTTTCAGATAGGTAACCTGTCATTATTTGCAGCTCTGCTGTCCTTGCTTCAATTCTCCGATTAGAAAGAAATATCTAAATTAGCACAGGCCTTGAAGTCTCAGCTACACAAACTGGGAACAGGAACAATAACTTCCTTTGATTCCGAGAATAACCACCATGCATCATTACCAGAGCAGCTACAGACTTGGAGCAGGTCTCAATGTGAATACGCTGACAGCTTTCTGTACACACTTTATGGTTTATTTCAACTCTGGCGTCTTCATGTCAATTAATAGCTTAAGAATAGCAACTGAAGACTCTCTATCTGAATAAGCTGATTTTCTTCTAAAAGGGAAACTGATACGATCCCACACTATGGAAAAATGTCCCTCTAAATTCACAAGGTAGCAGAAATGGCTGTGCTTTTGCAAGCTTCTGATAAATCTGCAGCATGCAGTTAGTGTCACAACAGAGAGGAAGGGTTCTTGTGCGTAGCTGAAAACCTGGAGTGATCTGGCATCAATGACAACCACCTACAATGCTTTTAAAAATGAATTTGGAACCAGACATCAACAAAATTTATCATCTCTTCTAAAGTAACTTTGTAGAGGAATCTAGAGATGGTTTAAAATATGTGAAAATGTAGTCATTAAACATTAAATAATTGCTTTGTGGGTCAAACCAAAGGGCCAACTATCTCTAAATTAATCTCCAGCAGTGGCTAGTAGCAAATCTTTGAAGAAAGTTATACAAAAGAGGAAATTAATAGATCTTTTCCTTTACATATTCTCTCAGCCTCCAGAAACGAGTGGTTTAAAGATTTCCTCAGTTGAAGGCTGCATTGACTGCTGTGCTTAATAGCTACCAATTTTCACATCCTCCATGAACTTAATCCCTTACGAATTCATTTATGCTCTTGGCTTCCACAACACCGCGCAGCAATGAGCTCTACAACTTGGAACACGCAAGAGCACTTCCATCTGTTTTAAAATTGCTACTTGATAACTCCACTACGAGGTCCCCACTGTCCTTTGAGAGACAGTGAACGCTTATAAGACTGTGAATGATACAGGGAGTCAGTGGAGAATAAAAGTTCTGTGTTCCTCAGCCGTCCTGTCCAAGCTGCAAACTCCTAGTCTCCTTAGCCTCGCGTGCACATTGACGTACATTTATTCTGCACCTCTGACCTGTGCTGAGCTACACCTTGCTAACGGTACCTTTCACTCTCCATCATTCAAGTTGTGGCCTCAGTCAAGCAGAAGAATCTTTACAGAAGAAAACATACAGCACGCTTTTTCCTTAAAAGTCAGGTCATGGTGTTACACACAAACCACAAGTAGTACAGTATTTCTCAAAGCCAGAGGTTGAAAACATACAGCACGCTTTTTCCTTAAAAGTCAGGTCATGGTGTTACACACAAACCACAAGTAGTACAGTATTTCTCAAAGCCAGAGGTTAAAAAAAAAAAAAAAAAAAAAAAAATTACTAGAATCGGATCTCATTCAGAAAAAACTGACGCAAAAGGCACCCTCTCCTGCTTGACGGCTATTACCTCCACTACAGCAAAACCTTTGATTGGCCGTGACAGAAGCGGCTGGTTGTCCAGAGACGTGACTGTGTACATTGATCCAACGTCAGACACGGACGCTGTTTCTACATTGTCAAGTGGTTCCCCGAGGCTGCCAAGGCTGCCAAGGCTTCCAGTACTGCAGTGTGAAAGATCCAAACTCTCCTGGCTGGAAACAACATGTGGTTCTAGCAATCCTGGTGGGATGGCCAGTTCCAGTCCAGCTTGAAACTGGTCAACTGAGATATCACTGACGGTCCGAGATATACCCTGCGAGCTGCAGAGGGAAGCCTGACTTGTAGATGCTGAAGCGCTAACGCTCATGGCAGGTGTGACACTGCTAGAGCTGCTGATATCCAAACTGTCCGCACTACTTGAAACAGTTGGTTTTTCCAGTTCGGTTCTGCATTCTCCTCCTTCCGCTTTGTCCTTGATTTTTTTGGGATCCTCTTCCTGCAAAGGGATGTAGATCTCATCTTTGAAGACCCCACCATGTGCATTACATGCCTTTCTGATTGCACTTCTCACAGTACTCTCCTCCAAGTGCGTTGGTATTCCAGAAATGACAAGCAAGCGGCTATGAGCTGTGGGACCTACCAATGCTTGACAGGCATCTGCTACGGCATCATTTGTCACACCCAATCCCTGTGGATCCTTTTTAGTTAGGTGTCTGAGAATTATAAGCAGAGTCAGTGCTCTATGAAACCATAACATATCCTCAGGCTTGCTTCCTCCTATACTGAGGATTGCAGCATCTGTTTCAGCTGCTCTGGATGAAGACCGTTTGCCTGAAGATGATGTCTTTTCCCGCTTCATTTTGACTTTTTTCCTCTTTGACAGCAAGCTTGGACTCTGTGGCGTCTGTCCTGGAGAAGATGAAGATGAGGAGGAAGAGTCACTAAGATTTGGGGCACTTGTTGAAGACATCACATTAGCCGTTACACTCATATTGATAGGTAAAGTTACTTCTGCTACAGCAAGGCAGACTTCCATCAGAGCATGGAAGTACGTTGAAAATCTTCCTTGGTCAGCCACTCCAACACCAGAGCCACCGCAGGCATTTCCAGACACCCAGTTTTGTGTTTCTTCATCATACAGCTTGTGAAGTTCCGACTGCAGGGCCATAAGCATAGCTAGACAGGGGTTCAGCTGAAGGGCAATAGAAGATGACAATCCTGCTGGATTTTTTTTCTGCTCCAGATTGTGAATTTTGCGAAGCAACTCAGCCAAGAGATGAAATATTAATTCCTTCACACATGCTGCCATGTCAGTTGTCCAGAGAAAGTTCCCTGCGTGTGGAAGGCAAGACATGGGAGTCAGCAGTATTTCACTGTTAGTAGCTTTATAACACGAGTTGCAACAGTAACATTAAAAAAGCACAAGAAGAGGTCGTTTCAATGGCCGTATGTCAGCAGTAAGAAAGACAGGAAGGCTATTCCAAGAAGTGCATACCAAGAGAAAATTTCTGGAGTTTGAAGAAAACTTTAATACAATGGAAGAGCTCAGAAATACTTTGTGACTAATTTTTCTTTTTTCCTAACCTCTCCATCTGAGCCCGCACATTATTGGGGCTCGTTACTAAGTAAATACTGCATTCTCACCTAAAAATTCCACTACTTGCAAAAGAACAGAAGCAGGAATAGTATCCAGTTCGTCTTCTGATTTTCCATCCCCATCTTCCAATTTCCAAGTTAACAGCTGTTCTGTGAATGCCATTGCCAGGGGGAATTCAAGGGGAAGAGAATGCAAGACCAACACAGCTCCAGGAGGAGGAGATACTCCTAACCAAAAAGGTCAAAGAAAATACTTACTTTACAAATGCCTAGAGTCATGATAAAAGTAGTAACATCTTTTAGGACTTTTTTGAGGCTAAATTTATGCTAAGTGAGAATTTTCTCTATTAAGTACCTTGTAATAAACAAATAGGAATGTTTATCTATAATGCTAAGTTGATATAATCTATAATTATAAACATACAGATGACATTTTGTTTATGTGACATAAGAAATAGAACTATTTTTAGCCTGTACATATCTAAATACATATAGGACTTCCACAAAACCATTTATTTGTAGTATGACATGTCTGATCAGTATTGAGAAAAACATCAGAGATGCTGTAGTTCAGCAAAAGAACTTAAAGACCTCCAATGGAAAGTTTTAAGAGCGTACTGCACTCAAGTCACCTTCACTGCTCTAAATAAATCACGCTGTCTCCCCCTTAGGCTGGAAGAGTAAAAAGAATATTAATGATTGCTCTTGCTTGAGAAGCTGGGATGATGTATGTATTACTATACTGCATATCTATTCCTGTGCGTATTAAAGGGCCCAACAATCACCTACAAAAGCAAAAAAAAAAAAAAATTAATCTCCATCTGAAACACAGCATCTGAAACAGCAATAGCACCAACTTGAACACTGCAGAAATATTCAAACACACTGCTTTGTGAACTCCTGGAACACAAAAATCAGGAAAAAAGCAGATCCCGATAGATTTAACAGAACTAACAAAACCAGAGTGAGATGGCTTCCAACGTTTATAAACCCAGGCTTTCTCGGTTAAGAATGGTTGCATATTTCTGCTAGGACACATTTCTTAATACCTTGTACAAAAATACTGTCATAACCAATGGCAGGACTGGTGACAATACAGGAAGGTCTTACAGAAGCAATGATGATGCTTGTCTCGCTTCTGAGAATACAGTTAAAAAGGTTTTTTAATTTTTCTTCTTTTTTTTACCTAGTTTGATGTGGACCTTGTCCGTAGGGGTGATCACCGAAGGGTACTGATTGGTTGTTGGGGGAGGTGTTAGGCCTGTGTTGGTTGGAGAGGCATCTCGAGGATAGCACACTGCTTCAATTAGGTTTAACTGACCATTCCTTTTAACTTTATGCCCGAGCCCGTAGACAAGCACTCGAGCCCAGGGAGCTTTATACAGGGATGAACTAAGAAGAGAGCAAGAACAGTTTGGTTAGACTGTAACTAGCTACTAAAAATCCCAACCCAATCACAGAAACATGAAACACACTGCGGTATTTATCCCACCACCCAGAAAATGAGTCTCTGAGAAGAGAAAATTCTACTCAGGGTTCACAGAGGCTCAGCGGCACTTCTTTAATCTTTGCCACTCTTGGTCGCTCAGTTACTTACTCTTTGCGGAATCCAGACTGACTTTCCTTACAGGACACAATTACAAACGCAGCCCCAGGAAAATTAGCAGGAAACTGTTCTGGTGCCATCTGTAACATAACATTTCATAATGAAGCCCCCAAGCAGCAGCAGCAGCAATCCATCTCCCTGTTCTTTTTTCAAATAAAATATAGTATTGTAAATAACGACATAGTGTGAGGCCGCTTCATTTTAATATGATCCAGAGTATTGCTATTGCTTGTGTTTTCAGCATGCCCGCTATGATCAGAATAGGAATACAATCCATCCAGAAAACAATTCGGTGCGAGGGACAGTACTATGGAAGTTTGAATCACGCATAAAGCAAGGGCTCCTTAGAAAGGAAAACACTACCGCTCGTAAAACATTACTAAATATTTTACCTGCAAAAAGGAGCAGATCTGTTTAGTGAGGTCTAACAAACTCTCCTCTCCTTGATGCAGCGTCCGAGTAATGGCAACAGTAAGCCACTCTCTGATGGCTTGCGAATTGCCCTGGTAGAAGAGGTCTGTGGCAGCACAGTTCTGGGAATGGACGCAGTGTTGCAGGGACTGGGCCAAAAGAATAGAACTTGAACTGATTGTTCCATCTGTAATAACAAGTAAGATATGACAAATCTGGAGATGACTTCAACATGGTTTATGTAGCCTGGGAAACAGACAGTGGGAAGAGTTTTAAAACACTTGGAAGATTACAAGCCTCTGTCTTCACTCCTGAGCAAGTGCAAAACTCCTCCCAAAGGTCAGCAGTAGAAAGGATCCACCCAAGACTAGGCCTGCACCCCCCAACATAGTTGGTTGCAGATGGGGTGGCTCTCTAAATGCCAGCTGTGCTCTTCACCTGCCTCAAGCCAACCCTTAGGGAGGGCCTGCCGGACATACACTGAGCTGAGGCTCACAGCTGCCTCGTTTTGTCCCATGTATGAAGGCAGGGATATTTCAATTTATGAGTGAGGTACAATGAGGACAAGCGACCAGAAGCGCTCTCTTCCCCACCCATTCCAGATGAGGCGAAAGCGGCTTTATCCGTTCTCAAGCTTTCCCCAGATATGAACAAGATAGCTTTTGGGCAGCCCCAAGTGGGTCGCAAGCCCCGACATCTCATGGCTGTCATTCTGGAGCTAATGGGAGAAGTCAAAGAAAAACAAAGTGCAGCGCACAAAGGAGTGGGCAATTCACCAAAATGCCAGTTTGGAAACTGTATGTATTAGCAGGACTTGAATTAGATGTATTTTAAAGAGGAAAAACTAAATAAAAGCTTGTAAAATTATTCTCAAAGCCATGCAAAGTAGTGCTGTACTCTGCAAGAGGATCTTTTACAATGCAGCATCTGTTAGAGGTAGCCAAGTTTCAAAGTAATAGAAGGAGGGAACAGGACTCTCTCCGATGGTAAATAATTACTTTCAATTATTAATAGCCTATATTTAGCACTTCCTACTTCCTCCTTATGCTCCAGCCATGTTACACACATTTCTTTGCATGCAGAATAGCTTTGTCACGATAATTGTCTTTGTTAACACTCACTTGAATTAGCCAAAGATTCTTTTCCATGATTCAGCACATACATTCTCTAACCAGATCTGTGATTCCAGTAGGAAAAGGACAAACCACTTTGTGAAATGAAGAAGAGTTGAATTTTGAAAACTGTGAGACCCAACTGGCATTTAGTTTTACTACGCTGGATTCGAACTATAAAACATTCTCAATTCCGTACAAGTATCCCATATGGATACTCCCCCCGCCCCCCAATAAACAGAAGATCGCCGATGACAAAGGGATAGAAGCACACTGAAGGGAATCTTAGGAGGGACTCTAAACTCTCTTGAACGCTTTTAATTAGATCATTAGCAAGAACTTCAGTTTAGCACCCTATCACTAAGGTCAGGAGTCCATTGAGACATTTTTTCAAATACCATCATTATTAACTAATTAATCAATAACTGCCAAATTAATTACATTTTTTTTTTGTCCCCAGAAAACTACTGTACCAGAAAAGAGCTTTGATAAAAATTAGCGTTTACCAGGAAGAGGCGGTGCAAGAAGTTGGTTGGACAGCAACTGCAGGTGCTCCAGAGTGATATCACGGATAGCAGGAATATGAAACAGCCGAGTAAACATATGCGGAGATTTGGGGGCAAAAATATTGAGGAGAGCCATGCGGCAGTATAGCTTGGCCAGAGCAGCTTCACTTCGCAAAAGCTCTCTAGAAAACACAAGCATCAAAACATAAAATTGCTTCACCACACTTAAAATAAGCCATATCCAGCAACCTGCCCCTGAATCCAAACATATATACCTAATTATTTAAAAGGTTCAAGTAGACCAAAATCTTTCTTATTCACTTAAGATAGCCCACCGCCCATCTAATTCTGGTACCAAATTAAGGCACCTGAATTAGAAGCCGACTCTCCACAAAGTCAGTCGAGTTCTTGAGCTTTTAGATAGCAACTGACTGATGGCACACGAAACCTAAGCTTCAAGGAAGGTACCTGTTAGACCAGCATGTACAAAAACTTTCACATGACTAAGCAAAATCCTTCCAACAAGACAATTCTAACCAACTTCCTTTATTACAAAAAGATCAAAACCCCACTACCCATTAAAACATGAATCTTTGTCAGCTTTAATCCTAAGGTTCATACAAATGCCTTCTAACTGCACTAATTTTTTTTTTTACCTGTGAATTTGGATATTGGTGTTATCCAGGGTAACCAATCCATTTGTTGCAGTCCTCCTGTAACCAGCAGGTGGCCTTTCTAACATGTCAATAGGATACCAGTATCTCACCAGAACTCCTTCACTTCTGAGGTAGGTCTCTACTTGCACCAATTCATTTACCTGGAACACCAAACCCAACACTGTCAATAGACACAGTAATGATAATATTTTTTTCCTTCAAAAAGAGCACCAAACCAGCATTCTCAGCAGTTTAGTACACTTAATCATATTTTCTCACAGATGTGTGATGCTGATATATTAAAAGCCCTCCCAATGTATCTTTACTCACTGAATCAACATCCAGAACAACACCATGAAGACCAAATGTCTTCAGCATCCCACGAATGGCGAACTTGGGTAAAGCTGTTCCAACAGCACTACTGGTAACGTTGTTACTGTCAGGAGAGCGAGTCACCACTGTGAGACCTGGTCAGAAAGGGACAACACAATTCTTAAGGTACAGCATTTTCCTCAGATTGACAATTTATGCAGTAGATCCCAAGTACCAGAGCCCCTTAGCTTTTATTTTCCCCTCAAGATACTTTCTGCTGACCTTACCTTTTCGTACTTTATCAATTGTAAATTTGTTTGCTTCATCTTTGATATCCTCGATAGTAGGAAGGTAGAGGTCTCTTGGGATGCCACCATTTTCCTCGTAGAGGAATTCTACAGTTTGTCGTGCTATATCAACCATTCCTGGTAGACAAAAGGGAGTGCTAGTTATTTTCCCCATCCACTTGAAATAAGTTCTTATTCTCATTAACATCATAAGCAGATAAGCTATCTAATTACGTAAATATTCTTTCAGTCAGGCTGACAGATAGGGAGTGGAGCTTTCCTGAGAGACACTTGTATGCTTCTCATTAGGGCTCAGAATTCTTACTTTGCTCTTACTGTGACTTTCCCACAAACAGGTCGTCTTGCCAGAACTGTATTTGTCTACAAATCCCCCCTTATGAAAGTGTTCCTCAAAAGTTTTACCTTGATACAGTCATAGACAGAAAATGTATGTAGATAACATCTTCCCAAACTATTATTCCGAAGTATTGCTGTATCCACATCACAATGGCACAACAAATTCTGCCACTATTTCTAAAGCCATTTTCTCTATTTAAATATTCCAACTTAAGTAAAAGCATTAAAGAAAAAATCATGACCCCACACCAAATTCTAAGCACTTCACAAAAACAGCAAGTGAAATTTTTCTTTAATTTAAATTTTCCAGCACTGAATACAGTAAAATATAAAAGAAACGCAGGTGTTATCTTCACACTTATTGCACATCATATAAAACAACGTGCGTGGAAATAAACACAGCCATACCTAACTGTAAAGCTCCTTTAATCTGATCCAACCCGGACTTCCTCTCAGCAAGCACTTCACAAAAACAGCAAGTGAAATTTTTCTTTAATTTAAATTTTCCAGCACTGAATACAGTAAAATATAAAAGAAACGCAGGTGTTATCTTCACACTTATTGCACATCATATAAAACAACGTGCGTGGAAATAAACACAGCCATACCTAACTGTAAAGCTCCTTTAATCTGATCCAACCCGGACTTCCTCTCAGCCTCATTACGGAATCTTCTTCTAATTGTAGGGAACACTTTAGT